GAGAGAGAAAGAAAGAAAGAAAGAAAGAAAGAAAGAAAGAAAGAGGCCTCCAGCAGTGTTAGAGGAATTGAGCGGCAGTTATTAAAGGAAAATAAACTGAATACATTGTTACAGAAATCACATGAACACAAGAAATCCACAGAAATTAAAATCTAAACACCATCAGAAACATTAAGTTTATTTCTGTTATTATGGTTATTAGTGTCAGTATAACAAAAAAAAAATTCTAATTTTAAAATCCTTATTATTTACCATGGTAAACCACCAAAATATGACTGGGTAGGTGATACATAAAAGTCCATACAAATATATAAATATATAGCCATATAAATATATATGCATATAAATGTATGAGAATAAATATTTTATATATATATATATACTATAGAGAGAGAGAGAGAGAGAGAGAAATAATAAATAATATAGAATAAATATTATTATTGATATATTATATATCAATAATATATAAAATAATATTAACATTAATGCTTAAGGCTATTTTCATTTTAATCACATTTTTGTCTTCACTAGCTCATAATAAATTTTCTTGTGATTACTAGAAATTTTCCAGTAATGATATATGATATTCTATTTAAATGAAACTCTTGGGCAAAATAGTACTTAAATGCAACTGTTAATCAATACGTTTTGGATTTTTAGTTTAATGTTGAGTTGAATTGTGATGTTTGTGCAATGTGTTTGTGCAAGAGAATATTATATATATATATATATATAGTCTTGTATTCTCTTGCAAAACATCTCTTGTGTGTGTCAAATTATGTGACCAAACATTACTTTACAGAGAGATTATGACCTACTAGCTAAAGTCTCGACTAGTCAAACTCTGCCTATTTCAGTTCAAAATCGTTGAGCAAAAATTAAGTCTCAAAAAAGGATGTATATAAATTAATGAAAGCATATAATTATTGAAATCTCAATAAGTTGAATACCTCCAGGCAGCGGTCCTGCCATCTGCGAGCCAACATCTCCAGCAGAGGAGGCCTGAACTTATCCAAACCCAGAAGATCTGGAAGCATGACACAATGCATGGCAGCCAGCTGACTCCAACCTACAGAAACACACACACACACATTAAGTTTATTTCTGTTATTATGGTTATTAGTGTCAGTATAACAAAAAAAAAATTCTAATTTTAAAATCCTTATTATTTACCATGGTAAACCACCAAAATATGACTGGGTAGGTGATACATAAAAGTCCATACAAATATATAAATATATAGCCATATAAATATATATGCATATAAATGTATGAGAATAAATATTTTATATATATATATATACTATAGAGAGAGAGAGAGAGAGAGAGAAATAATAAATAATATAGAATAAATATTATTATTGATATATTATATATCAATAATATATAAAATAATATTAACATTAATGCTTAAGGCTATTTTCATTTTAATCACATTTTTGTCTTCACTAGCTCATAATAAATATTCCTGCAGACATATGAATTTATAGAAGTACAAAGTCAAAAAGATTATAGTTCATAAAGCAGCATTAAAAATAAATATTAAAAAGCTGTTTAAATAATTTTAGCTGTCAATTTCCCAAAACTTATTTAATGCAATAAATCAGTTATTATACTGTAGAATCATCGGACATTAATAAACATTAATAAGTAATTCTGTTATTATAGTAGTTTACCATGGTATTTAGTAGTATATGTAATAGTAAATGTTTTATAAAATAAGTGCAGAAACCTAGATAAAGATTGAAAAATATGATTAATTCAACAAAATCTGAATGAGATGAAGGTTTAAAAGAATTGTTTCGATGCAACCTTTTAAACTATTTATGCTATTATATATGTTTGTGATAAATTCTAACCTTGAGGAAGTCAAGGAAACTGGGCTTAGCGGCACACGACTTCCGCACCACTCCCATCGCCAAGCTGACGTTATTCACATATTCACTGTAAGCGTCCAACACCATGGACTTAGAAAACTGCAAAAGAGACCGAGAGTGGTGATGGCACAGATATGACAGAGGAAACAATTATGCTTTTTTTTTTAACGAGATTGTTCCCTCATGAACTGCAGGAGTTTTTACTGATGCAGATACATTTTAGACAGCCACAAAAACACACACACACACACACACACACACACACACACACAAGCGCACAGGGTCAGAGAGACAGACCATCACCACCGTTCACAACACCACTGCTGAATCACATCTTCACAGGAACCTGGAAAAACCAAACGGCTCACAAACATCAGAGGAACATCAGCAATGCTCTCGATTCATGAGGGGAAATGAGCCACATCCAACAGAGAGTCACATATATCAGGAATATATGGAAGAGCTTTTGGAAAACAATGAGCTTGCTAACGTCAGTAATGCACATGAACACTTTCAGAGGAGAAAACTGATTCAGCTTCAAAGAAACTGGTTACATTTCTTTATGAAACAACAAACATACCTTTAAGAAATATACATCAGCCCATCCAAAAATACATCAGCCCATGTATTCATAAAGACGTTTATTAAAACCTGAGGAGAAATGTGTGTGTATAGATATAGATGTATATGTAAAATAAGCATGCAGTCCAAGACATTTACACACAGACAGACAGAGAAACGACTACAAGCACAAAGTACAGCAGAAGAGTGTAAGTGAACTGAACCTAGAGACAGAACCAATCACACAAACACAATAAACACACACAGGCACGGAGCGCCAGGCCCACAAGATGAACGGGAGAGAGAGCGAGCGAGAGAGCGCAGCTAAAGAAAAGGAGAGAGAGAGAGAGAAAGAGAGAGAGAGAGAGAGAGAGAGAGGCCTTTATTCAGAGAGCGAATACCTTCATTGACTGAGGGAGAGTGAGACACTCCTGAACCAGAAGACGGAGCAGCGATCGCAGCTTGCAAAGAGAGGAAAAGAGACGTGAAATATATGTTTGTGATAAATCAAAATGGGAAAAAAAAAAAAAAACAGCATTTCACTAAAATTTTCTGATGGTATTTCTATACAAGCCATTTCACTGCACCTGAAAAATTAATAATTATTCAAAAATAAAATAATAATCAGATTGCGATATTCTCCCTGACTGTCTCGAGCAGAAATGAGAAGAAACAGAAAATAAAATGTGACCCTGGAGCACAAAACCAGTCATTAGGGTCAATTTTTCGAA